GTTTAATGGCTTTATTCTCAAGTCCTTTTATTTACAGGCTTAATTCTCAAGTCCTTTGTTTAATGGCTTTATTCTCAAGACCTTTGTTTAATGGCTTTATTCTCAAGTCCTTTGTTTACTGGCTTTAATCTCAATTACTGACTTCAATCTCAAGTCCTTTGTGTAATGGCTTTATTCTCAAGTCCTTTGTTTAATGGTTTTATTCTCAAGTCCTGTGTTTAATTGCTTTATTCTCAATAAACATATTATTAATATTGGAGCTCCTGCACTTCCCACTATGGCCCGTCTTATTATAGAATATCAATAACAAGTTTTATTAATACCCTAAAAAGGCTAAAATGAGTGGGGCTTTTCCTTTTATGTCTAATATCTTAATTCTCACTTAATATTAGAAGACCTTTTGTGTTCTTTTACATACAATAATCCAAAAACATTTTTTAAATTCCAGCAATAATCCAAAACTTTTTTTTACAAGATATAAAAATTTCAGTCCTTTTATTCATAGGCTAAAATTTCCAGTCCTTTTTATATTTAATTTAGTTTACCCTGAAATTACGGTCCCTTTCAGACAACATTTTTGATTCAATTTATGGCAGTGCTATTTAATGTAACAGTGCCGCTCGATTTACAACGGTACCATTAAAACATTTGCCTTATGAGAGAAAAAATTGCGAAGAAATTCTTGTTTTTCTTTTATTAAATGGACAAGTTTTGAGAGAGAAAAACGGCAATATCTTCCTTATTATTGCTCAAATATATATGTAAAAGGTAGTGTTATGATCCGTTATACAACAATATAACTGATATATAATATATTTTAGTTAGCTATACAATTAAACACAATTAAACAGCCTCGACTTTAAAGTGTCGCAACGTCTTTTTTATTTTACCTTACAAACTACACTTTTTGTTAGCCCTAGACATATACATTTAAAAATAGCAACGTGCGTGTTTCTGGTTTAAGTTTTAAAGGAGTAATTGGAAAAATACTGTTTCATTTTATCCTAAGTCTGTTTAAAAATCTTGTATTTTTATTCCTGTCAAGTTTTCTTGTATTTAGTCCTGATGCTCGGAAGGAATTTAAGCAAATTATTGATTTTTCACAACAAAAGAACATTGATGCCTACCTGCAAGCAGCTGCTAAGGTTAAACAAATTTATCATTGTGTTCTTGATTCTAAAAGTTTCTATCAAAGTTTTATGAGATTCCGTCAAAGTTTTATGATACTTTTCTAAGTTTTGTGAGATTTTATCAAAGTTTAATAAGATTCGATATGTTAATATATTATTTAATTTTTTTTTCAGATTATATGAAACTGTTTTGAGATTCTAATAAATTCTAAATTTCTATCGAAATTTTATTAGATCTAACAAAAATTGTATAAGGTTCTATCAAAGTTTTATAATATTATATCCAATCAAGTATTTCTTAAAGTATGGGGAGAAATGTGTAGAAGCGGCAAAAAGAGATATTGAATTTGATCAAGGTTGGGATGAGGAACTCAAGAAACCGGATGTAGATATTAGGTAATGCAGGAAACCAGATGTAGATCTTAGGTGATAAAAGTAAACCGGATGTAGCTCTCTGAGGTAATACAACAATCGAGGAAGTAAATCTGTGGTTATACTGGAAACCGGATAAAGATCTTAGGTAATACAGGAAACCGGATGTATATCTCTGAGGTTATACAATAAAAGAGGAAATATATCTCTGGTTATGCAGGAAACCGGACGTAGATCTTAACTAGGGTTTCCAACGTAATAGATTATTCTCTTACGCGTAATTACGTGCAGTTACGCGTAATAATTTTCATTTCATGTAATTTCGCAGGATTACGCGTAATTGGGGAAATATTCATTTCGCGTAATTACGGCCAAATTTCACGTAATTTCTACAACGTAATTTCGCAAAATTTCGTAATGATTACTCGTAATAAGCAAAACTATAATTACGCGTAATTACAGCCTAATTTCGCGTAATTTCTATGATGTAATTTCGCGAAATTTTGTGTTAATTACGCGTAATTAGCAAAACTTCAATTTCTACAAAGTAATTTTGCGAAATTTTGCAATAATTACGTCTATGAAATTTTGAAGTTTTAACTTTTAATTTAAATAAAACAACTAACTTACAAGGAAAATAATGTCACACAAGTTGAATCAGAAATTTCAGCCAATACTATGTTGATATAATTTTCATGTTCGACAACTAAGAAGTTTAACAAAGGGCCAACAACATAATCTATAAATTTTCAATTTTCAACGACTTGTAAATATTTCACAGGGGCGTAAATAAGGATTCTGTAGGGGGGGGGGGGTAAATTTTTATATTTTGGTGCGCCGATTTTTTTGGTTTTAGTTGCTTGGTTTAGTTGTTTGATTTGCATTTTCCACTCATTTCTGGCTTTTACAAACTCCACCAAATACAGGCTTCATTTCCTACCTTTCAGCTTTCACCATGTTTTATACCCTTCAATATAGTAATTTATTTTACATTAACTACAAAGATCTGTAAACATCTGAATTTATTTTAAGTAACATAAAAATAGTTTTGTCTTTGTTTATATTCTAGTTTCCAGAGGAACAACTAGCACTTTTTCTTGGGTGTAGGGGGGCTTGCCACCCCTTTAGAAAAATTTTTCAAAATAAAAGTTCTTTTTTAAGGGTTTGACGTCGAAAAAAGGATATTTTCAGTTTTTGCATGCAGATTTGGCTGTGTTCAATTCAATTCTTTTTCTTTTCTTGTGTTTTAAAAACATTTATACTTTCAACAGCTGTAAAATTAACGTATGAGTCAGTCAATTCTTTTCATGTGTGCGCGGAGCGCCAAAGAAAATTTGTTAAGTACCTTGTTTAATTACAGATATAATTACAAGAAATAATCAGTTTTATTATTATATTATCAAAATACATATATAATTTTAATTACCTACATTGAAAAAGGACATATAATGTTACGTTTTCTCCTGAAGTTATTGAATATATGATTAATCATTCTAGCCAACATTTATAATCTTATTTCATTTTCGATTTTATAGAAGTTCGTTTAAAGAAGATAAACAGGTTATCAAATATGATAATCAGTTAGAAGTTTGCCAGAATGTTCTCTAGATTTGGAACTGAGTTTTTGCCACAAACTCAAATATTCTAATCCCTAAATCTTTGCACCGAGTGGTGTAAACCTTTGATATTTCAAACTTAGAATATTTCACCAAAATAATTCAAAGTATCTGCACATTTGAATTATTTTCGTGCAAATTTTAAAGATATTCAATTTTAAAATCAACCTTTTTTACAAACAAATTCTAAGGGCCCCAGGATTCTAGGGGGTAATTACCCCCAGGATTCTAGGGGGGGGGGGGTACATAACCCGAATAACCCCCCCTATTTTACGCCACTGATATTTCAACCTACTTTCTCAAGTTTACTTTCCTTGCTTGAAAAAAATGTCAATAAAATCGTCAAAATATTTTTGACATTGTTGTAGCAGGCATATCCTTACACATACTGTCCCGCTATAATTATTTCTGAGAATTAGTATGTACTTTATTTATTACGGAATTGTTACGTAATACGTAATTTCGCGTAATTACGCCTTAATTACGCGAAACTAGTCTTTCTTTCGTAAACGTAATAAATGCGTAATTACGCGTAATGTTCCTGCGTAAGTGAAAGAAAGTGTTACGCACAATTACGCGTAATTACGTGTAACGTAATTACGCCTGGAAACCCTAATCTTAACCCTATTCCAACTAAGGGGGGGGGGGCACTATGAACCCCCCCTGTCGTCTGGTCTGAGGTTGTTCAAATTTTTTTACTTTTCTTACTAGAACATGCCCCTCAAATTAAGCTAAAAGCTGGGCTTTTATACATACTGCCTGAGTCCTCAAGCATACTGCCTAAATGCCTTATTTTACCTTTACCATACTAAATCCAAATTTAAACCTACTTTCAGTAATTGGATTTCAATATTTTTAAGCTCTTTGGAAAGCCTGCTAGACAAAGAAGCAGATTTCAAGATTTCTGCAAAGAAATTTTCTGTTGATTTTTGCACAGACCTGGAAAGAGAATTTGCACAATTTTAGTTTTTCTTTAACACACATTTAGGCTTGGAAAATTTTGCAAATATTTTTGCATATTTGTATTTGCTGGGTCCCGGGCTTTTCAAATATGTATAATTTGCGCACCTTTTGTTTTTTTTTCACATTTTTCGCTAAAAAACCTTGATTTTGCATTATATAATTAAAATTTTGCAAATTTGTATTTTTTTTGGCAGATTATTAAAGTGGAGCCCAAGGGCTTTTCAAACGTGTATCATATGTTAGAGATTTGTATCACAATAAAGAAATAGAGAGGGGAGTCACTGTGCCCCCCCCCGCGTCTATTTTTGGTAAACCAGACGTCAGTCTGAATAGGGTTAAGTAATACAGGAAACCGGATGTAGATCTCTGAGGTAATACAGCAATAGAGGATGTAGATCTGTGGTTATACAGGAAACTGGTTGTAGATAATAGATAATACATGGGAAACCGTATGTAGAACTTAGGTAATAGAGGAACCCGGATGAAAATCTCAGATCAATACAGGAGTTGCAAAGTATTCTAATCGATATATCTTTGCAATCGGATGGTACAAACCTTTTTTCAAGATTAATAATTTTAAACTGCAAATAAACTTTTTAGATTACATTTTTATAAAGGTTAAAGAACATAGAATTTGATCTAAAAAGTGTTTTAGAGCACCTGGAAAATGGACCCAACACATGGTGGTGGTGAAACTAAACAGTGGAGATCTATTCCTCTACAATCCTGTTAAAGTTAGAAATGAAACAGGTATCGGTTTGGGCGCAGTTAGAAATTTAAAAAGATGGGGGTCAAAAATTTTACCGCAATTTTAGGGGCTAGGTTCAGTTAGCGATGTGCGCGTTTGGCTTTTTTCAATTCATTTCAATTCATTCTTCGTTAGCGATCCATTTCATTCGTGTTTATTTTTCAGTCATTCAGTAAACATATGATTTTGTTTTTTGTTGGAATCATCGTTTAATTTTTTAATATTTCTTTCGTTTTTTTTATTAATGAACGTTTATCGGTTAATTTATTAGTGCAGTAGATCTTTCGTTTTTAACTAAATTATCGATAACGATTTTAATCCGTTCTTTTTTGTTTGTTTTGACAAAACAATCTTTTTTATTTCTGAGTATTATCCCTTGATCATCTTTCGTTAATTTTCTGAACCACACCTCGTTAATTTCGGCGCTGGCTATGTCATTTGTCCTGCAATCATTTGTCCTACAATCATTTGTCCTACAATCATTTGTCATAGAAATCATTTGTCCTGCAACAGAGTGGGGGAAATATAATTTGTCCTACACATCATTTGTCCTTCATATCATTTATCCTACAGATCATATGTCATTTGTCAGATCAGGGGAAATAATGTTATCTCCTCTCTGTAGGAAAAATAATATGTAAACAAATAATGTGTAGAACAAATGATTGTAGGGCAAAAGTTTTTTGGACAAATGGCATAGCGCCTTAATATCTGCCGTTGATGATAATGATGCCCATTTTTAGGTTCAATAATAATAATAATAATAATAATTATAATAATAATGATAATGATAATGATAATGATAATGATAATGATAATGATAATGATAATGATAATGATAATGATAATGATAATGATAATGATAATGATAATGATAATAATCAGGGTTTGAGGATTGGTTGAATGGACTGGGAAAAGTAAAATATATTGCCATAGCCTCAGCATACCACACTCTCCAGGTTCTTTCTTAAAGGGTTCGTTTGCAAAATATTTAGTAAATCTTCAATCTTCAATGCTTTTCTAAAAGAATCCATTGAGTTTTCTAATCCCATGATCTTTTGGTTGATAATTTTCTCTCTAATACTTTTTTCTCTCTAACTTGCTTTTTATTGCCTATTTCAGATTTCTGGGATTACAAAAAAATACCCAGATGCTCTGATCATTGGACCAAGAGAGGCAGAGCTCAAACTAAAGGTAAAGGAATAGCGAATTGTTTCCTTCAGAAATGCTGTTTTGTGTGTTTTAATCAAATTTATCAAACCACGAACGTTTAATTTTCTCAAGAAATGGCGTTAAATGCCGTCAAAATCATTCTGAAGTATGGCCTACCTTGGATTTTCAGATTTTCGTTCAATCTATCTATTTATAAATTTGGCTTGTCTGTCTGTTTGTCTGTTTGTTTGTTTGTATCTAATAAACGTAAAAACGGCTGAACCGGTCGGGCCCAATTTTTTTTGTGGGACCTCACGGAGCCCTAGGGAAGGTTTATGAAAGATCAAAATTTCAAATATTTGTCTCCATCAAAATTCGATCTTCATTAAATCTTTGAAAATTTTGAAAATCCACGACATTTTTTTGTCAAAATCCGCGAATTATTTTTGTTTTGTTTTACGATGTACACAAAGAGAACATGTTCACAATTAATTTAGAAGATGGGCGCAAAACGCCCTCTAAGGCTAGTCTCTATAAATTACTTTATATATGAATATTTACAATGTAATAATTAATCCGTGATACTTTTTAATATAATTGTAATATATACATCATGATTTTCTCATTGTAATCATGATGCACTTACTTGTTCAATACTTTCGCATTTTAAAAAATTTAAATCTGAAAAATAATATTATCTATTTAAAAATAGACACGAAGTCGAAAAATTCGTTCACTTTCGCGTTAATCTTGTCCGTATTGATCTTTTCGTGTGTGTATAGAAATGGGCGCGTTCGATTTTTTAAAACAATTTGTTCGTTCATCGTTCATTTCCATCTATTTTGTTTGTTCCCAAAAAATGTATATTTTTAAAAGTTTGTCAGAAAAAATCGTTTGTTTAGTAAAAAAATTATCGTTTTAAAAAATTTGTTCCAAAAAATACTTAGATCATTAAAACCCTTTATTTGTTGTTAAAATCTTTAGCAAATTTCAAAAATTCGTTGGTTCATTAAAAAATTAGATTAAACAATTTATATTGTTTGTTGTTTTTCGTTTTTGAAAAAAAAACTATAGTTTATTCTTTCTCTGAATGAACCAGGTCGTTCATCCATTGTAACCTTATTAACTAGTTTTATCCAGGTTGCCAATGCTCTGCCTCGAGGGAAGTTTGATTATGTTTACACACACCCAGAACAGGCCCAGGAAGCAAACCAGAAACTTGGTAAAAAAAAGTGTTCGGGAAATACGCAAAAAAATAGGAGGGACTATTTTTTCCCTCATTTTGGTTTTTAATTAAAAAACAAGACTCATAAACTTAAGGGGTCCAAAAATCACAAATCTCACCTATAATTTTGGAAAAAATCATCGCCAAAATTATACTCAAATACAACAAACTTTTACCTATACTATAGTAAAGCTAAGGATTTCCTGGACTAGATCCCAACTCAGGCCCGTATGCAAAACATCAGAGATAAATTGCAAATTTTTTAAAAACTACTCATCGCTTAATTTTCGGTCACATTTTTTATGAACAAAACAAGCTGACAACATTAGTTAAATTTCATATTAAGATTTTTTTATTAAATTTAGGAACAAATATTTTATAAATTGAAGGAAGAATTACACACTGTTGTGGGTGCACTTCCTCCCCCTCATTGAAGACGAACTTGTTCCAGGTGCTGAAGGTGTAGAACTACTGCCTGTAGTCGGGGATGCTGGAACTAGTGCTCTCATGGCTATATCCCACAAGGTATAAAAATAAAACAAACAAACAAAGACCCCCCCCCCTTCATCAATAATTGTTTTCTCCCCAGATATATTATAGTGTGTTTTGGCTGATTTGGAGAAATTAAACTTTACTCAGACAAGAAGAAACTGTGGGTTTTAAGTACTAAAAAAGCGGGGGCGGGGGGGGGATGTGATGTCAAACTTTTCATTTTGCTACCAAACTTTTTCAAAATATATAACCAGTAGATTACAGGGGGTCTGAATAATATGAACGTAAATCATGACTTTAATCCTTTCACTCCAAGGGAAAAAAACATGGGGTTTTCAGAAATATAGGAGACTCAGTTTTTACTTCATACAAATACAAAATTTTTTCACAAATAGGTAAAATACAGATGCTAAGAGTTATTAAATTTTAAAGGGTCAAATAACAATTGTAGAAATTTGAGGCAAATTGGTCAAGTTGTTCCTGAGTTATGATCGGACATACCTCATATATGTTGATACCGTAATATCCTTATCCTTGTCTATAAGGTTCTCATGGAGTGTGATATAGTTTACAGTCTCGCGGATGGAACTACTGGGTTTACAGACAGGTAATAAGTGATCGGCGATTTTATCAGTACAGTAAAAACGACTTTTCCATCTATGTTTTGATTTTTTCAAAGAAGACAAAGAGAAGCTGTTAATTGACAGCTTTTTTTTTGCTTCATTGTTTTTGGGTATCGCATTATTTTTTAGAAGCTTGGAAGAAATTTAATTTGAAATAGAAAGCTGTCGTCTTTGTATTGGTTTATACGACGACGACTATTTATAAGTAAAAAATCATCATATATAATAAAAAGATAGAAGTGGTTAAACGTATTTATAACTGCTTTTTCTTGTGTATAAGTATGTTGTTCAAGTACTCTTCAGCCTTCAATGTTCATTAATTTGGTGCCTATCGACCTAAAAGATTATGTTGCTTGGATGAAAAATGTGCCATATAGTTAATTTTAGATACCCAGTCTCTCCAGGGTATATTTTGCAACACATGATTTAGAGCTCGGTTTCTCCAGGGTATGTTTTGCAACACATGATTTAGAGCTCAGTTTCTCCAGGATATATTTACAACACATGATTTAGGGCTCGGTTATTTCAGAGTATATTTACAGCCCATGATTTAGACCTTGGTTTCTCTATGGTATATATTTACAAATTACAACACAGAATTTAGATCTCGGTCTCTCTAGGATATATTTACAACACATGATTAAGGGCTCGGTTTGATGAGATGAGGGATGAGGATCGAGGAACAAGATTGTTTAAACTTGGTCTTCTCTCTGCTCCTAAATCACCCAATGATGCTCTTCCAATCTACAGGTGGATTTTTCAAGTTGAATATGCTTGTTTAAACATTTCTTAGAAAGCTTATTCTTAATCTGAACCCAATTAACCAGGGTTCATACCTATATGTACATAATCCTCCCTTGCTTGTGTAGCCATCCTGTTTTCCCAATTTCATAAAGCCTCCCAAAACCTAACAACTTCCTTTCATACATTATGAAAAATTAAGATTTTTTATGAGAACTGTTTTCTCAAAAAACATTAAATTTCGTTAGATAATTCAAATTTTAGCATTATGAAATAAGGAAGCTTTGCACAAGTTTTGCAGAAAAATTCCTATTCTACAGTTTTATATTGCCGCTAAACCTCTCCTATCTTTTAACTGTAACCTATTGAAGGTTTTGGATGATGGATCCAACCTGCTTTATCTCCAGCCTCTCCATCAGTCCACCGAACAAAGTTAGTTTTTAAAGGGAATGTTCACTAATTTTGGTTAAAGAGACTGTAAGCGTCATTTTAAGTGATCCTCTAATGCAAAGATGGCAATGCCCGATTTACAACGGTAAACTTAAAAGTTTTATCTAATCAAAATGTGAAAGACTGACTCGAGAAGTGTTTGTTTCTGGGAGTTTCTGCATTGCTTCTTGTATGTAAGAAATTCGCAAGTTTACTTTCGCACAGATGCAAAAATATCAAAACATCAAATGCCAAATGATCAAATATGCCTAATTATGGAGTACAAACGCAGTACGTTTCAATTAGGTCTACAAGCTAGAAATGTAAACAAATCAGAGAAAAATCATAACGACGGATCGTACTGCATTGCTCATCTCAAAACAACAAAGAAAAAACAAAGAAGAGACGATAAAAGATAAGGGAAGAGAAGAAAAGAGAGAACAGAAGAGTAGAGAAGAGAAGAAAAGAAAAGATAAGAAAAAAGCGAAGAAAAATAGAAGAAAAAAAAGAAGAAAAGAAAAGATAAGAAAAAAGAGAAGAAAAAATAGAAGAAAATAAAAAGAAAAGAAGAAAAGAGAAGAGAAGAAAAAAGAAGAGAAGAAAGCAGAAAGGAAGAAAATATAAGAGAAGAGAAAGAAGAAAAAATAGATTGCGTGAAAGAGAGAGCTTGCATTTTACAGATGTTTAATCATAAAAATATGTTTAAGAATGCCATGAACTTTAAAATTAACTTTATTGTAAAATTGTATGGGATATTTTTGAAAAAAAATAGTTGTCCTAACTGTTTAGCGTTCATTTTTTTGATCATTAAAAGAATTTTGATCAGCTAAAGATTTTTGATCATTTGGCATTTGATATTCTGATATTTTGCGCACAGATCCCACAATTGAAAATAAACAGTTTTAACCAACAAAAACTTGCATATCTAATTTATAGATATGCAAATCTATAAATTGTAAATCGGGCATTAGCATCTTTGCACGAAGGGTAACTTGAAATTACGCTTACAGTCCCTTTAATTTGAAATATACCAATCATTGATTAGAGCTGATTTTGTTTACACTTATCTCGGGAAAATGGCAAAACAATGTTATAATAATACTAGCTTGGGAACCCAGCTTTACATGGAATTTAAACCCAGACTAAGAGTATTCCCGTGGTTCTACTGCCAGTTACTCAATCATAATTTTAGGACAATCGGTCCAGGAGATCATGAGATAGGAGATCATGAGATAGGAGATCATGAGATAGGAGATCATGAGATAGGAGATCATGAGATAGGAGAATAAACGGTTGGACCGAATGGCCAAATTTTTTAAGGAAGCCTTGGGTACCCTGGGGATAAAATAGACTAAGAAAATTACATTTTTTATTAGATTTTTTAAAAATCTTAGTTCTTATATAATAACTCATTCTGCATTCTCCAATTTTAGGATGGATCTTCCTGCACTATAATGGCGGAGACTCTGCGTAAAATATTGCGTAAAGATTTTGATGAAGCTGTTGGCGTACATAATAGGTAATAATAGTGAAAATAATGTTAAAATATCTACCAAAAATCTTAAAGAGACTGTAGACGTAACTTTAAAAAAGAGTGGCATGGGTGATTCACAAAGGTAATCGTTGTTCCGTTGTCTGATCACGGAATAAAAATATTCTCACTTTTCTACATGAAATTTGAGTATTTTCAAATGTAGTTTTTCTGTAAAAGTGACTTGCTTCAGAATTAATGAAAAAAATTCCAAACCAAAACGCTTCAAGATTAAAAAACTTATTTTTTTCTCATTATTAACCAGGTAGAGGATTAAAGGGTACCAATGTGAATCATTATTATCGGAAGCAAGGTTCCAATGCAAGGAAAGTTATTTCAGAGGTGTACGCATGTTTTGGGCGGAAAAGTAAACACAAGACGGATGTCACAGCCTAACATGGAATCAATTTTCACAAAAATAATCAATGAAATATTCTGGTCCTGAAACTATTATGTGAATTTTAAAAATTATCAAAAATAAATGCTTTTATCCTCCTTGGATACTAGACGAACACTGATGCATCTATTCTTGTTTACAAAGTCAGCCTAGAGAGAACTGGTTTAAATATATACGCAGAGTATACGCGACCGCAATTAGCTGTCCTTGCATTAGTACCTTGATCAGAAGTAGAAATCTATTTTTACGTCGTCTTTTGATTCCCATGTTTATTGGGACCCCCTTATAATCCACCCCTCTAACAATAACGTAACTAGACGGAAGGTCAAATTTACAAGACATTAATGGTACAACTTTGTGACCTAGTAGTTCCTCTAGTTTTATTGCAAGCAAGAATGTAAGGCAAGGAAAGTCAATTGCGGTTGTGTATACTCTGTGTACATATTGAAACCAGTTATCTCTGGGCGGAATTTGTAAACAATAATAGATGCATCAGTGTTCGTTTAGTATCCGAGGAGGTTAAAAGCATTAAATTTTGATAATTTTGATAATTCACATAATAGTTTCCTATGACCAGAATATTTCATTGATTTTTTATATGAATGATGGATCCCATGTCAGGCTCCGACATCCGTCTTGTGTTTACATTAGCGCCCAGAGACAGTACACTACAGTACTAAAGATGTGAACACTTCTGAAATGACTTTCCTTGCCTTACATCCTTGATTGCAAGTATGAGAAGCATATTTATCCGATTACATATTAGAAATATAAAACATTTTGTTCTTCTATAGTAGGTTTTCAATAAGGGGGGTTATGATTAAAAAGACGTGAGATTTATATCTTTAGTTTAGGGCTGGGCGTCTGCCTTACTTTTTCTTTTACTTATTTCGTTCTGTTCCGTTCTCTTTGTTCCCGCGAGAGAACAGACGTTCCCGAGGAATGCACCCCTGACTTACGGTGATAACCAGAAAACTGTGAAATAGGAAGACGACATTAAAACAATACTAGAGTTAATTTTATGTTGTTACAAAGCAAACAACTTGAATAGTAAGTTATTAAAGCACTGAAAAAGTGCAATTGGTCTATTTACATTATACAATTACTGTTAACCAAGTAAATGGACTATTTATGATCAGAAAGTCGACTTCCTATTCCAGAGTTTCCTGGTTATCACTGTATAGCTCTTGCATATCACAAATCCTATAATTCCTTTTGTTTTTGTTTAGGCGGGTATCTGGAGATATGTTCCGGAAGAGTGTAGACTTGAACTGGAAATGGTTGGATGGAAGATCATTACTCTAAAGTCTAGATGGAAAAATAGGAGGCCAAAAATTAAAGAAAAGGTGGACAAAACTTAAAAAAAGGAGGCCAAAACTTAAAGAAAAGGTGGCCAAAACTTAAAAGAAAGGTGGCCAAAACCTGATAAAATAGGAGACCACAACTGGGAGAATAGAAGGCCAACCCCTTGATTGTGAAACTTTCATTACAATTGTTTTCTAATTTAACTAGAAATTTTCAATCCTTCATGTTTTAATCTTTGACAAAAAGTGCAATTGTTAAAAAATATTCTAAAAGATAAAAAAGCTTAAGTTCTTTATTTTCTGATTTCATAAGGAAAAGTTTTTATTTTAAAGTGTAATTTTTGAAAATATTTTACTGTGTAAATTTTACTTTAGTACTGTCAACATTTTTTGTTTCTATTTACATTATCACCTGTTTACTTGCTCTCTTGTTTCTATTTACATTATCACCTGTTTACTTGTTCTCTTGTTTCTATCAACTTTTAGAACTTTTTCATATATATAGAATATAGATGTATCCATGCATGATAAAATAAAATAAAAAATAAAAATTAATTAAAAAGAAGTAAAAGTAATTAGAATAATTCAGCGTGTAATAGGATCACAAATATAACGCTCTGTTTTCTAAATTGAACAGAAGTCATTGTTAAAAAGCGCCAGAGTCCAGAATTGAGTTCTTTGAAAAATGTCATGAAGGAATCTTTTTCTAAATACTTCCTCTATGTTGCTTTTGAAGCAAAAACTTGCAATTCATTTGGGAACGCCCAACCCTGCTCCTGTTAACAGACTGGATCAGAGGAACACATTCCCTGTGGAGATAAACGATATCAACCAATGAGGATGGTCCCAGATCTGGAACTGATGCAGCAGAGCAGGACCTCCAATTGAAGACGATGAAGATTGTTCTGAACAGGATTATAGTCTTTGGAGTCCTCCAAGCGACCTCTGGGAAAGGAAATATCAAAAATCTGCCGGAGCACATGAGTGCGCATCAGGAGGTCAGCCTCTGAGAGAAACGAGGATGATGATTACAGGATGGAAGGGTTAAACAACAAACTGGTTGAGGAAAAGCTTAACAGTATTGCCAACAAGAAAGGACAGTATGATATACAGCATATGACGTATTGCCAACAAGAAAGGATAGAATGATATACAGCATATGACGTATTGCCAACAAGAAAGGACAGTATGAAATACTACATATGACGCATTGCCAACAAGAAAGGACAATATGATATACAGCATATGACGTACTGTCAACAAGAAAGGACAGCATGATATACAGCATATGACGTATTGCCAACACGAAAGGACAGTATGATATACAGCATATAACGTACTGTCAACAAGAAAGGACAGTATGATATACAGCATATGACGTATTGCCAACAAGAAAGGACAGCATGATATATAGCATATGACGTATTGCCAACAAGAAAGGACAGTATGATATACAGCATATGACGTATTGCCAACAAGAAAGGACAGCATGATATACAGCATATGACGTACTGCCAACAAGAAAGGACAGCATGATATACAGCATATGACGTATTGCCAACAAGAACGGACAGTATGATATACAGCATATGACGTATTGTCAACAAGAAAGGACAGTATGATATACAGCATATGACGTATTGCCAACAAGACAGGACAGCATGATATACAGCATATGACGTATTGCCAACAAGAACGGACAGTATGATATACAGCATATGACGTATTGCCAACAAGAAAGGACAGTATGATATACAGCATATGACGAATTGCCAACAAGAAAGGACAGTATGATATACAGCATATGACGTATTGCCAACAAGAAAGGACAGCATGATATACAGCATATGATGTACTGCCAACAAGAAAGGACAGTATGATATACAACATATGACGTATTGCCAACAAGAAAGGACAGCATAATATACAGCATATGACGTACTGCCAACAAGAAAGGACAGCATGATATACAGAATATGACGTATTGCCAACAAGAAAGGACAGTATGATATACAGCATATGACGTATTGCCAACAAGAAAGGACAGTATGATATACAGCATATGACGTACTGCCAACAAGAAAGGACAGCATGATATACAGCATATGACGTACTGCCAACAAGAAAGGACAGTATGATATACAGCATATGACGTATTGCCAACAAGAAAGGACAGCATAATATACAGCATATGACGTACTGCCAACAAGAAAGGACAGTTTGATAGACAGCATATGACAGAAGAAAAATGGGATGAAGATACAACAAAAGACGACCAGTGCTATAACTGTGGAGCTAAATGGCTAGGTCGAGTTTTCCATTAGCAGTTGTAGTGAAAGAGAAAAATAAGAGGAAATATAGGGGTTATACAATGCATGAATAAGCAGAAAGAATCTTGTAGGTGGAAGCGGAAAGAGACGAATAAGAGGTAAATAATTAGGAAATCTTTAATAATCACTTAGTTTCAATAAAGACTAAACATGCCGTGTCCAAAAACCAGATTAGCGTTGAAATTTAAGGTACAGTACAGTTTATTTTTTCATAGTTTATATTAATAAAAGAAACTTACTTTATTGTTTTTTTTTATACCCTACTAAAATTCTTTAATGCTTCAAAGAAACAAATGTTTGTGAACACCAACACTTTTAGTACATAAATTTTGAATTCTTGCTTTTCTTGTTAAATTGTGCACTTCAATGTTTGTAATCAGTCATGTTTATTTCTACAATGATAAGAATAGTAACTACCATAAAATAGTTTTATACGCATTTTTAAAAAGTGAATATATTTAAAATATATTTGGTAAAATTTAAAAATAGTTCTATATAGATATTTAAAACTAAAAATGCAGTGTGGAGTCAAACGTATAAGACGTATGATTTTTTTTTGTAAATTTGTTTTGCCATTATTAAAGATAAGCAGTGACTGTAAATTAATACTAAAGTTTACATATCATATCAATTCACTGTAATTCCGAACTGAAATGTCTTGTAAGGATTCCTCATTCAAAAGGGCATTTTAGCTAACTCGTGAAATGATTTCTCTCTCTCTTATAGGAAAGCATTAATCTATAATATTTCAAATATAAAAAAATCACCCTTATTCAAGATTGTGTAAAATCTTCTGCCAATTATTAGAGCAATCACATATCATACATTTTTGGAAAGTATTGAACTAACTTATTTCAAAACTGAACTACATCTAACATTATTGCATAAGTATAACGCCATTTTTGTCAGCTGTTTTTTATGTGTTCTAATGTTTTTTTAGTGTGTCAAAGACTCTTGAACGATGTCTAAAATATTTTCCGTTAACACCGTTTATAAAATTGAGATAGTGAACTAACTTATTTCAAAACTGAACTACATCTAACATTATTGCATAAGTAGACGCCATTTATGTCAGCTGTTTTTTATGTGTTCTAATGTTTTTTTAGTGTGTCAAAGACTCTTGAACGATGTCTAAAATATTTTCCGTTAAAACCGTTAATAAAATTGAGATAGTTAACAAACTGTAACTTTAAGAAAGAATATAAAATACCGTTAATGAACAGATTGTCAAGTTCAGCCGAGCCTTATTTGACTTGAAAATATCTTTATGGCGTAAACATTGCCCCCCTTGTTTTAATGATCGACTAATAACTGTTTATACATAAATATTCAAATAGTAATTGTGAGTGTCACTTCTTTAATTTATGGATTTAAATAAGCTCAGTTTTGGTTGTAATTCACAGAATACAATTCCTTAAATAGGGATTTCCAAAATGTGGTCTGCCCATTTAAATTTGATTAAGTTAGTAAGAAATTTTTCCAGATTTCCAATTATCAAGGCAAACAAATATCCAATATATGTCCAACAATTGTAAAGATGCACAACAAGCAAACAACAATTAAAAAACTCTTCTGATTAATTCATGGTCTTTTTCATTCACTTGTCTATTTATAATTCCTCCCTACATAATTTTTATCAAGACAGACTGTGTAAACAAATTATTTTTGATAAATCTGAATTTAAAGAAAAGTTTCAACAGAGATTAGATTGATAAAACAAGATTGTGCAAAATGATCTGCTAATTATTGAATGGTGAAGATCAAGATCAATACTTGATATTATTGAATGGTGAAGATCAAGATCAATACTTGATATTCATCTTTTCTTATTTACTTTATTCATCCAAATCCCGTGATCAGTGTAGACTGTGGAAAACAAACATTAAATCAGAACCCAGGGAATTTTTCGTTTAACCAACGAGAAAATATGGATATTTCGGATATCCATCATCAAGAGATCAATCAGAATCTGCGTAAAGTTCAAAAGTGCTCACTGTGGATATTTAGATCAAGCGAGGAGGATTAGCCAGAGGCGGAATTTTAAGAATTTGAGCCGCGGCTCAAATATGGTTGGTTCCACTTAAAATTGTATTCATTGTTTCAATATTTACGCCGGCCCTCTATTGAAACTGGTTTTTGACGGATTTAAGACGTGGCTCAAATTCATTAAATTTGGACTCAGGAAACATTTAAAACGAATTATAGTTCCGATGAGAAGATGCCGGGGTAAATAATTTTGGACTTTTGATGTTCGACATCGGTATGCCGGAGACTAAAGTTCCCAGCTCAGGAAATATTTGATGTAGCATCACTAAACCTCTTCTCTTAAAATTATTCCCCCCCCCCCCCNCTTTTCCTCCTTCCATCCTTTTCACCTCCATCTTGCAAGTCCTACCCTGCTCCTGTTACTCTCCATCTCACCTCCAAGCCCTCCAACACTCCCTCTCTCTAACACCTCCCCTATCCCCTCTTATTAACCCCTCCAACCTCCCCTCACTCTAAACCCGCATACTTCGCCTTCTTTCCTCTAACTCTGTTCCTATGCCTCCACCATCCCACCCACCATGCAAATTCCCGTGCCCCTCCTTCTAACCCTCCAACCCCCCTCCCGTTTAACTCATCCAACCGCCCAAAGCTCTCAAACCTCTCCTGTCTCCCCTCCCACCATCCAACCTCCCCTCCCACCATCCAACCTCGCCTCCCTGCCCTCTCTTAGTCCAATAACCTATCCCATTCTTCATCCTACCTTCCCTCCCTTATTTCCTCCTCCTTCTAACCATGCCCCCTCTATTCCCATCACACGTAGAACTGTAATGTGGACACATTTTACTCTTATCTCTAGTTGTGTATAAAAACTTGAAATAGGTTTGTTTATCACGATAATTCTAGTTCAAAAACTGGTTAACATAAGAAAACACTTAAAGATTTCTAAAAACACAAAATTTGGGTAAAGAACTAGCCCCCTCCCCCTCCCAAGCTGAATGTCACACTCTACAATACAGGAATGGAAGGGGGTGTTGAAAGTAATTTGTCCCGAGTCTACTTGTAAACCAATACTTAAAGTTTGTTTTACTTTTTCGGCAATTTGAAAAACTATGTATATTATTTTGACAACAGTTCTATTTCTTAAGGATACCAGTGTGGACTTGAGATTCTAATTTGAGTGGGTCCACTATTATATGGAGAAATAGCTAAAATCGTAATTTACGACCAAGCGCGGGTAAACGGCGAGAGTTTGTCACCAGTATAATATTGAATTTTTGGGGATAAAAAATGATTGGCAGCGGCCCTCTAATTAAAACTTACATCTTCAATCAAACAGGGTTCATATGATCATTAACTTGCACTCAAGAGAAATGGACAAATCCAACAATATAGTACGTGGTCTCTACAATTATGCTAATTGGATATAAAAGTTAAAATGATTATAGTTAACCGAGTATATTTATATATAGATCTAGATGTTGTAAAATTGTCTCTTAATTGATAAATATGGTGGCCCTGAAAAGGGCCGGGGTTTATTTGGATTGAGAAATGGGCGCTTAAGCCTTGGTCTTCTCAGACTTCTTGGGGAGGAGGACGGCCTGAATGTTGGGCAGGACACCTCCCTGGGCGATGGTGACACCGGACAGAAGTTTGTTCAACTCCTCGTCGTTCCTGATGGCAAGCTGGAGGTGACGGGGGATGATTCTGGTCTTCTTGTTATCACGAGCAGCGTTTCCAGCCAGCTCGAGGACCTCAGCTGCGAGGTACTCCATGACGGCGGCCATGTAGACGGGGGCACCGGCTCCGACACGCTCAGCATAGTTGCCCTTCCTCAAAAGACGATGGATACGTCCAACTGGGAACTGGAGTCCAGCACGGCTGGACCTGGACTTTGCCTTTCCCTTAACTTTGCCTCCTTTACCGCGTCCAGACATGTTGATAGTTCGATTAGTTTAACGAAACTGGTCTCCGCTCTGATTTCAACCTATATATATAGGCTCCGCGGTGTTGAGTGGGGAAGCCCGGGAAAACTGTGTATTGTTCCAACGGTTGTGTGAGAAAAGCCCGGGAAAACACGTACCGGCCAGCTCTAGTGCACTTCAACTAGAGCTAGGTTATAAATTCAAGGCTCTCCCAGCTTCGCGCCATTCAGTCACTGAACCCCAACTTATCAACATGCCACCCAAGACCTCAGGAAAGGCCGCCAAGAAGTCCGGCAAGGCCCAGAAGGCCATCACCAAGGGAGACAAGAAGAAGAGGAAAGGAAAGAGGAAGGAGTCCTATGCCATCTACATTTACAAGGTCCTCAAGCAGGTCCACCCTGACACCGGTATCTCCTCCAAGGCCATGAGCATCATGAACTCTTTTGTCAACGATATCTTCTCCAGGATCGCTGCTGAAGCTTCCCGTCTGGCCCACTACAACAAGAGGTCCACCATCACCTCTCGGGAGATCCAGACCTCTGTCAGGCTCCTCCTTCCCGGAGAGTTGGCCAAGCACGCCGTCTCTGAGGGAACCAAGGCCGTCACCAAGTACACCAGCTCCAAGTAAACTGTGTGTAATTTCCTCATACAAAACCCCGGCCCTTTTCAGGGCCACCACTTTTACCAACTAAGAGATCATAATTTACAAGACTTAACTTAGTAATAAAATGTAGCGTTTTATCGTATATATATTTGTATATTTATCAATAACAGAGAATATCGAATCTAGTTTTGAAAATTATACAACTAAAGTACTGTAAGGTGTTACATTAAGCTGTCTGATCGGTACCTTTAAAATTGAATGAGATATCCATGCTTAGCATATTGAAAATTCGTTGGTTTCTCTGAAATACTCACTGCTGCAAATTCAATTGGAAATCATCAGAATTAAACACTTGACAACAAAGTCCCCCACATTATTGATCATATAAAGGTTTCAATTTGGTACCGTTGTGAATCAGCCATGCCCCACTGTAAATAAAAGGGCCTTAGGGAGGACATTTTTTTTTAAGTAGCTAGGCTAAAGTAATGCTTTCCACACAAATTCTATAGAAATTGCACATTTTTTTTACATTTCTAAGAAACTGGCTTTGATTGTCAATACTCACAACTTGAAGGATAAATGCAAATTGTTAAGGGCGCCGTGGAATCTGTTTTCTCAGCTTGTTTAAAATGCTAGTAAAACATTGTAATGGCTAAATTGGTAATACCGTTAATTCAAACGAATCCTTCCAAGGCACTCTTCAGTCTTGAATCTGTATCATTTTAAGTCAACCTAGCCGCCCTTACAACTTCCATGCACTCACACTCTTTAATCAACACAGTTCAATATCAAAATCATACAGGATGCAACACACAAACATCACAAAACAACTTAACCCAACCTAACCTAACATCAAACAGAAAGAAAAAATGTAAACTATTGCTTTGTATGTTATTCTCTTAGTTGGTATTTGTGGTGGCCCTGAAAAGGGCCGGTTGGGGTTTTGGGTTGAAGGGGGTTGGTTGCTTAACCGCCGAATCCGTACAGGGTACGTCCCTGCCTCTTCAGGGCATAGACAACGTCCATGGCGGTGACAGTCTTCCTCTTGGCGTGTTCGGTATAGGTGACGGCATCCCTGATGACGTTCTCAAGGAACACCTTGAGGACTCCACGGGTCTCCTCGTAGATGAGTCCGGAGATACGCTTGACTCCACCACGACGCGCCAAACGCCTGATGGCGGGCTTGGTGATGCCCTGGATGTTATCTCTCAACACCTTACGGTGACGCTTGGCGCCTCCCTTTCCTAGTCCCTTGCCTCCTTTACCGCGTCCAGTCATTGTGATAGTTTCAGTAATACTGATACCGGGCTCACTGATCCACTCTTATTTATACCCGAAGCCGGGGTCGCCGGCCAATAGTCACAACAACAGCACACTGTCTCTCTCTCTCTCCCCGGCCCCTTGACACGGAAACTCAATCCGTTTTCTTTCTATACACACGCTTATTAAGCTACAGCGCACTTTTGCTTTGGACATATATATACATATATATTATATATATCGATTAAAATCCAACTTTTACTAAAGAAAAACTTTTAAATGAATTTAGACATTTGTTCCAGTTTTCATCTTTATTCAGGTCTATATTTAGTTCTAATGCATACAGTGAGAACCAGAAAACTGTGGAATAGGGAAACAACAGTAAAGCATTATACTGAAATGTATTTGATGTTCTTACAAAGCAAATAGTTTACTAGAAACTTATAAAATCCCTTAATGTAAATGATATTAGTCTGTTTACACTGCACAATTGCTGTGTCTCATGTTCATTGGAACATTAAAAGTCAAAACTTGAGTCTAAAAGTTCCAGAGTTTTCTGGTTCTCACTGTATTATAACAGTGTGTACACATCCGATGATATACAAATCTAATGAATAAATCACTTTTTAAACTCAAATCTAACAAGATATTTGTACATGATAACATTTTTGTCAGAGCAAAGTGACCATAACGCTCTCTGCATGAGAAAAGAAAAGAAAAATCAGAAAATAAAACCCGGACTATATCTATGATTATTATAGGATTATTTCTCTCAGTAATAATAATAACTATATATGTCACACCTTTATAGATTGTACAGTTTTAAAAATGAATAAGCCAATATTTTTGACACATATACACGTTTCCGTAGTTTATTGTGTTGCACAGACATTCTATGGATAATAGATTTTTTAGGAGATGACCATGAGATTTCTTTTATATGTATACTTTGCTTGTTTGTATCCAATAAAAGCCAAAACAGAGTTTCCCGCCTTTTATTCAAAGAGCGCGCCCTAGCGGGGTGTAGGGGAAACACGGGCAGGGTTTATAAATAAAGCGAACAGAGCCGGCCAGTTATCAGTAGATTCTGAACCATGGCTCGTACCAAGCAGACCGCACGTAAGTCCACCGGAGGCAAGGCCCCCAGAAAGCAACTGGCCACCAAGGCAGCCAGGAAATCCGCCCCCGCTACCGGCGGAGTCAAGAAGCCCCACAGATACAGGCCCGGAACAGTCGCCCTCAGAGAGATCAGGAGGTACCAGAAGTCCACCGAGCTTCTCATCCGCAAGCTCCCCTTCCAGCGTCTGGTCAGGGAGATCGCCCAGGACTTCAAGACCGACCTGAGGTTCCAGAGCTCCGCCGTCATGGCTCTCCAGGAGGCCAGCGAGGCTTACCTTGTCGGACTCTTCGAGGATACCAACCTGTGCGCCATCCATGCCAAGAGGGTCACCATCATGCCCAAGGACATCCAGCTCGCCAGGAGAATCCGTGGAGAGCGTGCTTAGACATGTTCTTCCCCTTTTAAAACCCTCAACCGGCCCTTTTCAGGGCCACCACCAAAACCAATTAAGAGAATAACAAATACATTATTTAGTCGTACTCCTATTTTTATATATATGTATATAAATATGTAAATGAAAAAGTGTCTTTTTAAATGTAAGCTAGGATGAAGAGTCTTTTTATTACAAGGGGGCGTTGTAATGAATACACAAGTATACTAGCTTGAAACCCCAGGGTACTCATAGTTATTCCAGCCGTTTACCGGCGCTTGGCCGTAAATTACGATTTTAGCTATTTTCCCCATTAAATCTGGACCCACCCAACTTAGAATCTCAGTCAATTTCTCAATGTAGTAAAATGTTATTGCAAAGTCTGTTGCAGTTTATCACCAGGGTTTGCAGTGTTACGTATTTTTTCTAATTCATACCAAATGTGATTCTTTTGATATTTTAAAGTTTAAATCAAAATACAATTTAAATAATCTATTTCTGTTGTTTTAACTACTGTTACTTGTTAAACTGTTTCGAACCAAATATAGATTTGAATGATAATAAACGTAAAGGAGTTCATAAGTTATAATCGGACATACAACCAGAGATTACAACTTGATATATATATATAGATACAATTACAGGGTCGCCCACAAAGTATGAGGCTTTAATAACGACCTGAAACTCTTTTAGTTTGAAGACAAACCAATTGAATTGGAATTTAAATAAATTAGCTTAGAACCGGAATAATTCCGTACGGACGACTCTGTACCATTGAGTTGGTATCACGTTGAAACCTTTATCGAAATAAATCTGAATGGAATATACAGAGAAAATATTCCTTGTTTATTCGGCGAGCATGTTTACTGAACTAAATAAAACGAGTATTTTGGACACAACTATTTTCAACGGATCTTTATTAATCCTGGACTAACGTTTGACATTATTTTTGTTTAATCAAAAAATAAATATATCAGTATATATTTGCACCCAGAAACGTGGACAACTTCAGAACAAAAGTATGTTTTTTGCTACATGGAAGTTACATATATTTGTATGTATTTAAAAAGTATATATATATATATATTTACAGATCTTGCACAAGGATAGGCTGTAATAATTTTCTTAATTGATTAATTTGGTGGCCCTGAAAAGGGCCGGGGTTTGTGTAGGAAAAGAGAGAAATAGGCGCTTAGGCCTTGGTCTTCTCAGACTTCTTGGGGAGGAGGACGGCCTGGATGTTAGGCAGGACACCTCCCTGGGCGATGGTGACACCGGACAGAAGTTTGTTCAGCTCCTCGTCGTTTCTGATGGCGAGTTGAAGGTGACGGGGGATGATTCTGGTCTTCTTGTTGTCACGAGCAGCATTTCCAGCCAGCTCGAGAACCTCAGCTGCGAGGTACTCCATGACGGCGGCCATGTAGACGGGGGCACCGGCTCCGACACGCTCAGCATAGTTGCCCTTCCTCAAAAGACGATGGATACGTCCAACGGGGAACTGAAGTCCAGCACGGCTGGACCTGGACTTTGCCTTTCCCTTAACTTTGCCTCCTTTACCGCGTCCAGACATGTTGATAGTTTGATTAGTTAAGTGTAACTGGTCTCCGCTCCTATTTCAACTTTTATATATAGACTCCGCGGCGTTGAACTGGAGCCCGGGAAAACTGTGTATTGTTCCAACGGTTGTGTGTGAGAAAGCCCGGGAAAACACGTACCGGCCGGGTTCAGTGCACTTCAACTAGGGTCAGGTTATAAATACAAGGCTCTCTCAGCAGCGCGCCATTCAGTATCTGAAACCCAACTTGTCAACATGCCACCCAAGACCTTCAGGAAAGGCTGCCAAGAAATCCGGCAAGGCCCAGAAGGCCATCACCAAGGGAGATAAGAAGAAGAGGAAAGGAAAGAGGAAGGAGTCCTATGCCATCTACATCTACAAGGTCCTCAAGCAGGTCCACCCTGACACCGGTATCTCCTCCAAGGCCATGAGCATCATGAACTCCTTTGTCAACGATATCTTCTCCAGGATCGCTGCCGAAGCTTCCCGACTGGCCCACTACAACAAGAGATCCACCATCACCTCCCGGGAGATCCAGACCTCTGTCAGGCTCCTCCTTCCCGGAGAGTTGGCCAAGCACGCCGTCTCTGAGGGAACCAAGGCCGTCACCAAGTACACCAGCTCCAAGTAAACTGTGTGTAATTTCCTCATACAAAACCCCGGCCCTTTTCAGGGCCACCACTTTTACCAACTAAGAGATCATAATTTACAAGACTTAACTTAGTAATAAAATGTAGCGTTTTATCGTATATATATTTGTATATTTATCAATAACAGAGAATATCGAATCTAGTTTTGAAAATTATACAACTAAAGTACTGTAAGGTGTTACATTAAGCTGTCTGATCGGTACCTTTAAAATTGAATGAGATATCCATGCTTAGCATATTGAAAATTCGTTGGTTTCTCTGAAATACTCACTGCTGCAAATTCAATTGGAAATCATCAGAATTAAACACTTGACAACAAAGTCCCCCACATTATTGATCATATAAAGGTTTCAATTTGGTACCGTTGTGAATCAGCCATGCCCCACTGTAAATAAAAGGGCCTTAGGGAGGACATTTTTTTTTAAGTAGCTAGGCTAAAGTAATGCTTTCCACACAAATTCTATAGAAATTGCACATTTTTTTTACATTTCTAAGAAACTGGCTTTGATTGTCAATACTCACAACTTGAAGGATAAATGCAAATTGTTAAGGGCGCCGTGGAATCTGTTTTCTCAGCTTGTTTAAAATGCTAGTAAAACATTGTAATGGCTAAATTGGTAATACCGTTAATTCAAACGAATCCTTCCAAGGCACTCTTCAGTCTTGAATCTGTATCATTTTAAGTCAACCTAGCCGCCCTTACAACTTCCATGCACTCACACTCTTTAATCAACACAGTTCAATAACAAAATCATACAGGATGCAACACACAAACATCACAAAACAACTTAACCCAACCTAACCTAACATCAAACAGAAAGAAAAAATGCTAAGGACGTAACTTTTATTTTGATTATTGTTAATAGATGGCATTTGGCAGCTTTTCCTGACGTTCTATTTTTTTAGCTAGGGGTGCTAATGAGCCCCTGTGGTATGTGTGAGACATCTAGGTTTATACAACAAATTTAAAAAATATTAAAATGCCCTGAAGCTTTTTATAACATTTTAAAGTTTTTTTTCCGCTTGGGGCGCTAGTGAGCCAATCGATTTGTGGTCTGAGACATCTAGGTTTATACAACAAATTAAAATATTTAAATGAAGAAGTTAAAAGTTTTAGACGTATTTTGCAGAAATTTGTGCAAGGAGTGTGAAGGGGCGTTCTCTAACATTTCAGGGAAGGCTCAAAATCACTGTTAAAAACTTTTTAAAAGAAAGTTAATGAATTTAGTTTTTACAGATTCATGGAAATAATTAATCAATTAAAGATAAACTTTTTAATTAGCGAGCCGACATTCATACTTTTATTTGTTTGTTTTTTTGTCCGGTCATAATTTGAAACAATAAATTAAATTCAATATTGCATTATGTAAATTCATATATGTAAAGACATAAAAGAAGACTGATAAAAAATAGTATAAACCCATAAAATGAAGTACAGTTGTCGTACTGTACACGACCAATGAGCAAAAACTGTATTCTGGGATATTTAAGGATCCTTTGGATACGAAACACAAAATCTTCAAAAAAAAGACTGAATTTTTAAATGTTATGTTTCATGTTTAAAATTGGAGTACTTCTTTAAAAGTTGTAAAACTTAACCCCTGAATGGGTATCATCTTCAAAATCAAATATCAGAAAAAAAAGAATACTTTCAGTCTCTCATTTCCTATGTTTATCGGGACACCCTGTACGTATATTAAATATAAGGATATTCTTAAAAATAAAAGGATTTATTAAAACATTCTAACGAAATGCCCAGTAAAACCAATATAAAGTTATTATTATACTAGTCTTTTAATCATTTCAAAAAATAATTAGGCTGTATTTTATACTGGCTATTAAATAATCTTTTCGTTAACATCAAAACTAAACGAATAATTCTCATTAAACATGGCAATATAAAATAACAAACTACGATGATAAAAAACATGATATGTCATAAAAACTATTAAATAAATTTCTAAACGGTAAACAGACCTTATTACGGATTCTTCAGTCCTGCATATTCAATTATTTACTTAGTCGCCTTTAACTTATCATGTTTAGAGGAACACACTGTAGATATATCCAGTGTAGGGGTGTGTGTGTGTGTGTGTGTGTGTGTGTGTAAGGACAATAAAGTAAATAAGTTTGTCTATAAAACTGACCACACTCACTCTCCACCCCAGCTGCACTGCAGCACTGTTCTTACCTCTTCTATCCTCAGCCTTTTCATTCAGTCAATGCTCCACAAGAAATATACTTTATATTCGCTCTGCAATCAAAACTGAAAAATGTTTACTTTCTGGGTCCGAAACTTAAAACAGAGTATCCGAACGAAACCCAGTATCGGAAACCCGGTTTCATGAATGGGATCATGGACAGTTTTGCAGATACCAATATTTTTGCAAAGGAATCAGGGTCGTATATAAGAATTTTCTAGGGGGGACCGGGTATATTTTAAATATATATACTAAA